TTCGTTGCACTTCTTGCAAGACGTCGAGGGTCCACATCAGATACAGAAAAGCTATAGAAAGGCCAATGGCTGGGCATCAGTTTCAGCTGTTCTCATATACTAACGAAATGCCCAGCGATGGACGTAGCTGTTCTCATATATTTACAAAATGCCCAGCGATGGACATCGGAAATGTCGACATTTTCCGACGTCCGGGGACGTCGGAAAATGTCGACATTTCCCGGATGCCCAGCCATTTTCCGATGGACGTCCATCGCTGGGCATTTGGTAAATATATGAGAACAGCTATAGAAAGGCCAATAGCTGGGCGTCGGTTTCAGCTGTTCTGATATATTTACAAAATGCCCAGCTATCTATATCTGACGTGGGACCACAAAAACGACGAAAGCAAAAAGGCTAATCGTATCTTAAAGTCTACTTTATTTGCGCCATGACTTGATCGTCGAGGGTCGTACTCATAGCACCCATTCGAACCCAAGATTACCTTCTCTATTTTTCTTTTGTTCTTTTTGTTAATCTATCCAGATTTCTATACACGTAATTTCTAATGACGGAGGCCCTCAGAGCAGATAACATGTACTTAGAGGCATATTCAGTCATTGTAGATCCATCAAAAAGAAAGATTTATTGCTAATAGTCATTAATCCTTTTGTTTTTCTTTTGGACGCGGAATTTTTATCCCATATAATGGTATCTCAACATATCTCAACCGTCAATAAATACTTTATTTACATGCATCCACGGTTGAGAATTGGTTAAAATGCCAATGGAAGCACCTTCGAAGTAGAGGATCTTCATCCTCCTTTGTTATTTACGTTGGAAAAGTTTCATGATATTAATTTGGTAAATTAGTTTAGGTAAAACTCATGGCCAGAGTAATCCCTCTCCATAAGTTTTAGTACCTTTACAACTGCTTACTTATGTGAGAAAAAAGAATTACACTTAAGCTCCATTTATTTCAGGAAAAATGAATAATTTGAAAAATATTTTCTTAAAAATGATCGCTTGTATCGCTTATAAAAAGAAATAAACGAAAAATATTTTTATTGCTCACGAAGATATTTAGACATAAATTGTCAAGGATATTTCTAAAATCTCAAACTTTGAAAAAATGCGAAGAAGCGTCTATCCCATGCATGAAGAGACCTCACATTCACTAGCCACTATCCCATGCGCGAAGAGACTGCAGATTAACTTTGTTGCTTTCTTTTGTTAAGATAAACTCTTTCTTCAATTTTGGCCTAGAGAACAGCACAAATTTCAAATAAGGATATGAACTGAATTTATTTTCTCAAAAAATGATTCAAAGTGAATTTTATCTCTATTAAGGACCTGAAGTGGCCAATCAATCTTAAATAAAGGCCTAAACTCACTAGTCGACTAAATGTTTGCCGGTAAACATTTTCTAGAAACTAGAATAGGAGCAATTTTGTACGAAATTTGCAATTTAGTAAACAATAAGAAAGTCCCCAACTTGAATTAGAATTAGGGATCTTACTTCAATTTTTCACGTTTTCTTCTTCCTCTTCGCCCTATCCTCAATCGTTTCGCGCTCGGTCCTCGCCCGATCCTCGTCTCTCGCCACGAGCTTCAGTCCGTTGTCCGCCGTCATCTCTTCTCTCCCAAGTTCCGTCATTGCAAGCTTCAAGTCTGTCATCCCGAGCTTCAAGTCCGTCGTCCTTGAGTTAAAGTCCTTTAGTGCCGCTTTTGCTCTGGTGCACATTTTATTCTTCAGTGCCGCTCAGCTGAAGGAATTTGGTGCTACATGAGGATCCAATGGTTGCTTTTCATGAACTCCGTCAGTGGCGGGAGGCATGGGGCTGAGCTCAAGCTCCACCTTCACCGACTAATCGCCGAAGAACAGGTATGAGAGATGTGGCAGTTGGTGTTTAGTTGAATATAATCGTGCGATTTATCTTTGCGTAGTTAAGCATGCGCTCGAGCGCTCTAGCTTCATATGGTAGTAACTGTATAAGGGTACTAGTTCACGGTGGCGTCCATCGACAAGATCGGAGGGTTCGCAATACAATCGATGGGATTCTTCTTCGTGACAGTGTTCGTGTTCGCTTAGGCCATCCCTTACCAGTTACCACCACTGGACCTTGCCGGACGATCGAATGGGGTTTGGGATCATGTGCGCGCTCACCTTCTTCTTAAGTGTTTGATCTTCTTTTGACATTCGTTTATTCTGACATGCGCTTTTTCTCCTATTTCTTATTAACGTCACTAATTTTTTACATTATTTCTTTATGGGCTTGTTATCCACCGGGCATTGGAAATAACCCAGTAAAAATATCTATCAAACCGGACAGAAGAAATGAGGCCGAAAGCTTAAAATTATAATTTTGCTAAAAAAGATGTATAATGGGAATTCTTTTGATACTCGTATAATAGAAAAATTAAGAAATTAGAGTTTAAGTACTATCACCTTCATCACAATTTTGATTTTTATTTTCTAAAGTATATGGTTTTCTTTAATACGTGTTATATTCTTTAAATGATATTTCCCTTTAATCATAATGGCTAAGTTAAAACTCAAGGTCATCTCTTTCTATTCATTATTTAAATTCTATTTGAATTATGTGATTCAAAACATAAGTTGTTGAACACATCTCTTATGAGCTTATATAAAAAAATTCAAACATCTCTTCCTCTCCATTATTTAAATTCCATTTGAATAAATTAAAGCTTATGAGCTTCTCTCTTATCTATTTTTTTATAATAAAATTCAAATTGAGTGGAGTTTAGATAAAAATTATTTCCATTTTTATTTTCTTATAAATGTACTTATTTTGATAGATATAAACTATATTTAAGTAAGTGGATTTCCAACGAAGAAAATAAAAATCAGCATAACCTGAATATGTATGTTTCAAATAAATCTAGATGTATACTCATTTTCTCAAATTTTTGCTGAGTTAAATAGACTACATCATTTATTTCATTATGTTATGCTGAACTAAGGACTATATCATTTAAATAAAAATTTTATCATTCAAGAATGTCCTTATTTGAAAAAATGATGGTATTTCAGGCTCTTACTCGAGACAAGGTCCACTTCAGGCATTTATTTGAGAAAATGATGACACTTCATTCAAGAATGTAATTCGTTGTTTAATAAGTTTTACTTAACGAAACAAATTATGCGATTCATTTCATTATCAGTTAAATATATTTGATTTAATTAAATAAAAGGTATATCATTTAAATAAAAAAATTATATCATTTAAGAATATAGTAAGAAATTACGTTTGAAACAAACTGTATGTTTGAGAACATATTTGAGATACTTCTCCATATCTATCTTTTAAAATTTTTAAATCAATAAAATATAGATGGCTAAAGATGATAATCGATAAACTAATTATCATTGGTCGAATGTGGCAATGAGACTAAATTATGCAATGTGTCTTACCATGTACCTACATTATTTTAAAAGTTAGATGTTTGGCAATACCATGCCCTGTGTCTTGCCATATAATATAACTCATTATTTTTTATTATGTTAATTTCATTTCGTATTTATCTCAAATGGATGGAGAAATAGGAAATAAAACAAAATAACTATCAACAAGTTACACATAATTATTATTCATCATGTAAATGTTTATGTAATTAATTAAATTGTATTATTAAATCAAGCGAATTAAATATAATATTGTCACTGAATGTAGTAGATAAACTTTATATCATGCTTGCTTTAATTGGGAAGCTCTATTCTTTCGTATATTACTATTTTACTTTAAAAGTTATATCTTTTAAAATTTTTACTTAATTAATATTATTATCATCATCAAACGAAGCAAGTTATTGGTTACTAAATCTTAAACTACGAGTTCAAAGGGAAAATTCCAAACAAAGGTCGGAAGTGCCCTCATTTTTTTAAATAAGAGTCTGAAATGAATTTTGTCTAGAATAAAAGCATGAAATGCCCTCATTTTCTGAAATAAGAACTTGAAGTGAACCTTGTCTTAAATAGGGATCTGAAGTGGCTATATCAGTCTCGAAAAAAGGTTTGACCTCATCGGTTGGTAAGGGCATTTTCATCTTTTATCATTTTTTTTATTTTTCTTTCTTTTTTCCTTTTTATGTATTTTATTTCCATAAAAAACAAAATAAAAAAGGATAAAAAAAAACACACATACAAGCCCTCCGCCCCATTGCCGGTGGGGCAACGACGATGGCAAGTAGGGTAACCGACAACCCTTGCCTGCCATCGCCACCGCCCCACCGGTGATGGGGCGATGGTCACAGGCTAGCTAGTTAGCCCTCTTGCCTGTATTTTTTTTATAAATTTTTTTTGATCTTTTTTAATTTTTAATCTAATTTAAGTAAAATTTTATTTGGACGAAAATGCCCTTAACTAGCTGGCGAGGTTAGGCCTCCCCCTTTTTTTTTTTTAAAGTTTTGGCCCTATTATAGCTACTTCAAGCTATTATTTAAGAAAATGAGAGCATTTCATGTCCTTATTTGAAACAAGGTCCACTTCATGCCTTTTTTGAGAAAATGATGGCACTTCAAGCTCTTAATTGGAATTTTTCCTAGTTTAAATGGTTCCACATTGATTTTCTTTGGCCAACTGCCAAAAAAAGAACAAGTACTGTCTCAAACAATGACAAAAACTATAAGATACATATTGTTTTTATCTTTTCAAAGAACACGGAGAAGTTCGCATTTATATTATGATAAAATCTAAGGATGTTGTTATTACGAATCAACTATATCATAAAAGATATAACTAATTTGATTATATATATTATAGATATATTATCTTTGATAATAAAATTTCGTTAGTATTTCACGTTATCTGATAATAATAAATATAAAAAACCAACATACTCACCTGGGTAAACATCGGTAATATAAAATCGTATATGAGGCGCAAAAATTGATAATTAACGTGTTATATCATTAATTCCCCGATCCAAAGACCAAATCTCTCCTTCTTCTTCCAATCCCGCCAATTTTTCAGCGGCCGCCTCATAAAATTCTTTACCGTCATCAGTGCAGAGAGAGAGAGAGGGGGAAGCGACGGAAGAGCTCAAGAGATGGGAGTTCACCCTGAGCGGCAACGCCTTGAAGACCTTGGCTCGCTCCATCGCTTGCCTCTCCCGCATCGGCAACGACCTCGCTATCCAAGCTTCTCCCTCCCAGGTCATTCGATTTCTTCTTCTTCTTCTCCGTCTCCGTCTCTCTCCCCCGCAGCTCCGGTCGAAAAGTTCGCGCGTCGCCGCTGAAATCCATGCCGATCGTTCCTCGGCTTCATCCATCGAGTGAAAAAGCTGAGTAGTTGCTTCTTCGTGCGCCCTGACGAGCGATGCTTAGTTTGGATGATGCTATGCTGTTGTTAGGTATTTGGCTCGTTTCGCTCGATTCAGTGTCCGATTGACAAATTTCAGAGTCCTTCCACCGATTGCCGAGCGACTGGAGCTTTTGGCGGTGGATTTGAGGCAGAAATTTGTTGACCTAGGTTGCGATTGGCCCCGTCGACGATGATTAGAACTTGACGTGCATAAAAATCTGAAGTGACTAAAAGAATCTAATTCCGTTGATAGGATGATTCAAAGTCATTATATCGTAAGACTAAGGCAATTCATTGCTGAAGCCAGGACAACTATCAGTGGTACTCGCGGAAAATGTCAGAATGGCGGAAACCATAGGAGAAAAACCCTATGCATAACCTTCTATGGGTGCTGCTATTCTGTCTTGCTGGTTTGTCTAGTTTCTTTGATGGTATTATATGGAGTTTTGCAACACTGAATAAGTGAAAAACACAATTGCGCTCCCTAGCATATCTCTTACGTGACCATACTTTGCATGACTTCCTTTTGCCTCGTCGCCTTTAACTACCAAACAACAATATAAGTTCCAAGTTCTAGGCTCATGTTTGGCACTTGGCACCATTTGATTTGAAATTAGAATAGAAATAGTATTGATCTGTGTACAAATATCACCTTCTTACTTGTATATATATCATATCAAGATTCTCATATTCGTATTCAACCTCCAACTTTCCTTTCATGCACTCAATTCGTCAAGATCTGCCTATCAGTTGATTACCCTCAAGCCAGACCTCTTTGATGTGTTTACAGTATCTGGCGCACAAGTTCAATTGAGTATTCTTTTGAAGGTATGATGACATTGCTCATCTTTGTGGTATAATTTGTCAGTTTATAGTTGTAAGCAACTTACAAATTAATCTGTGCAAGCAGTCTTTTCAGTCCTCTGAACACCTATTACAAATATTGGTTATCAAAGTGTGTAATTACCAGACATGCATCAAAGGTTCAATGGACTCTGCAGCGCTTCAATGGTAAAGACCTTTCAGTTGTATGCACAGTGCTCTGAATGTGTTATGTTGGAAATGGTGTATTTGATGGTTAAGATTTGAAACTTATGGGCATAGATGGAAGGGTTAGAGGATTCCTTTTTCCCCTAAAAATAATCTCGCTCCAATTCTATGGAAAAAACGAGCAGCAAATGAAGTCTTGAAACTGACACGTTCATTGAGAGAAAATGACTGCAAAGTGCTGTGATGAGCATTAATAAGTCATATCATATGAGTCCACCAAGATTAGCTTCTCTAATTTTTCATCACGCAAAAGCAGCGTGAACTCTGTCTAATGGATTTTGCAGCGCACCAATATGACCTATAAAGCCAACGGATTCAGAATAAAGAGATGGCGGGAACTTATTATTTATTAGATTCCATGTGTACGACTTTTACTTCTTTTTGTTGGCCACTTACCATTTTAAGTCTTTGACTCAATCATGCTAACTACATATCATTCTGTATGTTTTCTAACTACAATATAATTGGAGGTTGTCAAACCTGCATTAATTTGATAAGAAGCTGTACCATGCAGAGAGACTTGTTTATCTCACCACGCAAACTGTGAGTTTTTGTTCATGCATATGTGATGAGGTTTAAACCAAGTTCTTGTCACATGTATGCAGGAATTAAGAAAACATACTGGATTACTTGCAATGTTGACCCTGACGTACATCAATTATCTCCGGATAGGAGACAATACCCAAGCAATTTTGTAGTGAGGCCTCATGATCTGAACAGATTGCTTGCAAATTCAGTCATCCCTTCAGGAAATCACTATCATTGCAACTGAATGCAACTCCAAACCTTCTGATGCTGCAAGTGAATTTGGTGGGAAATCTGTTGAGTTCCAAAGCTACATCAATCCTACCAAATGTAGACATGAACTATATTCTTTTCAACCGAATATGGCAAAGAACATCATGGTTCAGATTCTGGTTGCCAAAAACGACTCTTTACTGCACACTCAGCTGTGGATAGACCCTGCGGAAGAGTTTGTGCAGTATGCTCATAGTGGTAACCCAGTGGACTTGACTTTTGCTGTCAAAGAGTTGAAGGTATTCGATCTGATTTGTTTTTTATTATATCAGATAGCAAGATATTTGGGTCATAAATGCAGCTAAAAGTTCTTGAACATATGACTTCACCCTCAAACTTATCTCCATTTCCTTAAAATGAGTCCACCTAATTGCCAAAATGCTATTGGAGTCACATTCAGGACCATCTTTTATGTTGAAGTTTTTCCTTGCGTTTTCTAGTGAACATGATAATTTTTAACCTTTGTCCATCTCTTGGAAATCGAGGCATTTCTTGCATTCTGTGAGGAATGTGAAGTGGACATTCATTTGTACTTTGAGAAGGTCGGCGAGTAAGTAAATTCTTAGTGCTCTTTTGTATCTTACCTTCTACCCATTTTTTTTTCCATGCTTCACTTCAATTTTGTTATGCAAGTAGCTCAGATGCAACGAGCAGTTTTCATGCAATCAATCCATAACTGGTTTTGTAGATGAATGATTGCTAGTTATCTGCTCAAAGATCTAAAACATGCTAATGCATAGCTTCACAATCAAAATCGTAAAGGCCCATGACAATTTGGGCTAAATGTCAAAAAACAAGAGACTATCATTGAAAAGTTGATCGACATAACATAGTGCACCTTCGAATCGAGTTTAAATAATAGTAGTGTAAGGAGGTTTAAGTTCGGATGGTAAATGGTTTTTTTATCAAGTTTAATGCAAGATGCTAGTAGAGTATGCCAGCTAAAATTATCAGTGCAAAACTTGATGGTTAATGCGTGTCTTTTGACTTTTCTTTTTGGTACTAAATTCTTGGTTTCAAGTGCAACATCTCTGCCATCACAGAGGGGCGTAAGTACAACTAAATGTAAAATAGAAAAAAGAAATGAACTTGATACAACTGCATGTTTTTATGAAACAGGCCTATTTTGATGGCCCCTAAATTCGGCATTGATGAAGGGGCCTCTTCCAATTTTGATGCTGCACTTGTAGTGGCCACCATTCTCACATCAGAATTACAAGAAGGTAATACTGGACCTTCAGCAAATGAAATGCTGGGCCAGGCTGATACTGGGGAAGCTTCTGGATAATCCCTCTAAAACTATTTTCTTCGTCCTTTGGTTGTGTAGATGGACATGGTTTTTCACGACGTCATCGAAGTAATTGGGTTGATGCCAATGAGGATGAGAATGAGGATGATGATAACGAGGATGGTGTTGACTCTGCGTTCAATCAACACTGCCATATTATGAAGATCGATAGCATTATGTTTCCTGTTTAACTATGATAGCATTATGTTTCTTTTCTCGTTTTTCACCTACTTGACTTTACGTTAGTGCTCGTGCCTATTTAGCTAGTCCAGCATGCAATTAAAGCTGCCATTTTAACGCGCTTCTTTTTCCCCCTCTCTTTTGTTTTTCAGTATTAAGTTGATGTGCTTTGCTGAAGGAGGTGTCGGTATGGGTATGTTTCTACACTCGTATTCTATCATAACTCGTTCCTGGCTTCCTGCCAAGAAAAACAGAGCAGCGCCAATAGATCCTACAGAATCACATGCTTTATGGACAGGACCTGCTGTTTAGAACTATTGGAGATGGTGTTGAAGTTGCTTGTAGTTTTTTCATTTGTACTAACCTAAATAGATCCCTTGCCGTAGAAAGCTTTTCTGCTTTGTCTTTTGGAAACCATTATAAGTTAATCTGTGTATATTAAAAAGGAACGGGTCAAATGGTTTTAGAGATGTTTGTGTTCCTTTCTTAAAATCACATTCCAGAATGATTACCAGAATGATTCCGCCATTTTTAAACTCCAACCAATTAAGTTTAACTTTTCCTTGTCAGTTGCTTCCATTATGTATACTCAAAGGTGGCAAATTTCTGGTGTTCTAATTTGTGGCAATGATTTCTGCTGAGGTAATTTGTGACAGTGTCAAGGTATCATAAAATTTACTTGAGGCTCGGATAAGGAGTTTGTTCTGCAGAATAAGTCCCTCCACGTAAATTTCAGGAGAGCAAGTCCTTGTGTCTGAGTTTTTCCTCTTCACACATTTTGGGTCTTGGCATCATGTCGTTTTATGTTGCATTTGTCACCTCCACCTACGGTCATTCATCCACGGACTTCAACCTTCAGGGCAAATGTCTTGATGTTTGTTCAGTTTAATTCTCATATATCTGCACATGAAATCTGACATCTATCCTTTCATGTTGCCCATGACCTTTAGAGTCCGGGACCGATTAGCACTTATTTAGGGTGTCACGTTCATGATCAAAGATATTTGATTTCTCTGGCTGCAAAGACATTTTTGTCCACATGCACGAGTGTATTCTTTTTATAGTAGGGAAAAAAAAGCAACTTTTTTTGCATGGATTTGAGGACATAAATCTCAATCGGCTTGATTCGTGTGCTAATACCATGTGATGACGTAAAATACATAACATGCACAAATGGCCGTCGTTATTCGGCCATTTACTAGGCATGAGTACCTTGTTACATTGGCAAGTATTGTATAAATGAATTTACTGAGTAATGTTGGTAAATCGGTCTTAAAAAACAACTATAGTGATAAAATCATAGCTTTGGTGTTATCTTATCGCGTAAGTGAACGGGCAGGTTATGAATCAAGCTTGTACTTGTCCAACCTACCTTACGTATGTAGTTCGATGTCCATTTAGCTAGCTTAGTTTAAATTTTGTTGTATAGAGATTGCTGAGTTTGTACATGAGGAATGAGCTACAAACTATATCAAACTCGCAATACGATGTATCCAAAAATGAAATAATAGTGAATGGAGATCATGTGATTCTTTCCAATGTACTCATCATTTCCCCTGTTTCTCTCTAGCTCAAAACAAAAAAAAACTGACCAGTTTCTCCATCATCATTTCTCAATCATAAATTGCACCACGATCTTAAGTAAAACTACCATCATCATCCTATATCCTGCTTTGAATGCAATAATAGAACACGAGGTGAAAGTCCGAGCCAGCATTGACAAAAAGCAATCAATTCTTAACTTTTGACTCATGTAAGCAAGACATGTATCGACAATTGAGACACTTATGACTTATGAGATTATCTTGTGGGACTAAGAACCGCATCCAAGAAAAAGGGGTTGATAACTATTGATAAAGATCTTACTTTTGATAGATTTAAAACCACTTGATATGTCCTTAATTACATTGTTTGCTTCAAGAGTTTGACTCACTCAGAACATTGAGAATAAAAATCTGAATATATTAACAAATACAGAAAAGGAATAGAGGACTAATCTTCGGGTACAAATTGGTGTTCAATTGTTTTGTGGAAAATTTGACATTTCTGAAAAATATTTTGCAAGTAATTTGAAAAGGCAAACTTGCTTTTAATTTTTTAAATAGACATGCACTATGCGGGCGTTAATAACTAGGGCATGGGCAGCCAAGGAATCAGGCACGGGCCCATAGAAGTCAACCCAAGATCCCAATGCCCATGCGCAGCTCCCTGGCACCCCAGGCTGGGTCCATCGAGACCGGGCTTAGGTCCATAGTGGTCAGGCCTGGACTCCGGCACCCATGCTTGGGTCCTCGGCACCTAAGTCCCAGTTCATGGAGGTTAGGCACGAGTCCATAGAGGTCGGGCTCGGGACCTCAATGCACGTGCCTATGTTCTCGGTGATAGAGCCTACATCCATTAAGGCTGGCCCTAGACACCCATGCTTACTGCCGGGCCTAACCTTTGTGGACCCGAGCTTGGCCTCGATGGACTCAGGCTGGGCACCAAGGATTTGGGCATGGGCACAGGGGTA